CGGTCGGGCAGAAAGGGGCGGGGGGAGGAATAGCCATTATACACTAATGCGAGGGCTGCGATTCCACCGTAGCTGCCTGGGGCTAAGCCGCCTTAGCGCTGCGCTTGGTGTTGCTAGCAGCACCGTGGGGAAGGGAGAGGGTCCAGGCTTAACGACACACCATGGCCCGGCTGAGTGGACTGGGGGGGGCAAGAGGGGCTCCCCGTGAAGCAGCGTGTCTGGGGCAACGCAGAGCAGAGCGGAAAACCGGCACCTTCCTTCAGCAGGCGGGAGAAAGTCATTTTGCATTTGATGCCCCGCGGCCAGATCCACAGGGAAGGCTGGGCTGCCGCCCTCTGCGAGTCCCCTCGCCCCTACCGTAACAGCAACGCGCGACGGCCCCCGCGGCTGCCAGGAACGCCGCCGCGAGACGCCCTAGCGCCTCGTCGGCCCCACTGGGCTTGGCCTCGAAGGAGCTGGCAGGGAAGGAGGGAGCCGCAAGACGCGGGAAGAGCTTCCTGCTAGTTCCACCTTCACCCCACTCGGCCAGCGGAAGCGAGGGAGCAGCAGCAGGCCGGAGAGCGGCTTAGCAAATGCCCGTTCCCTCCTCCCAGAGCCACCGAGGGCTGCGCACCAGGCCTCCAACCTACGCTCCAGAGCAGCTGCCGCCTTCGCGCCAGGCTCCTGCCCCGTGCAACCAGCTCAGCGTCACCAGGGGAATCTCGCAGAGGCGGCGTTTCGGCAGTGACACCCGCAGTGGAGAGAAGACACTTCAGCGCGCACAGGAGGGGGGGTTAACCAGGGTGGGAGGCAGCTGGGGGCCAGTCTAGACAGTCACACATGCCCCGGGAGGGCAGCCGTGGGGCAGTGGCAGATTTGGGACAATACTCGGCTCTCCACGGCAGGCAGGAGTGACTCTTCTAGAAGCGACAGCTTGAATATTCCAGCCCGGCTGCTCTGGCCCAGCTGCCGAAGGGTAGAAACAGGGCTGCCGCGTGCAGGGGACAGTTGCAGAACACGCCTGGCTCCCCGGGGGAGGCCGAGAAGAGCTGCACACATCCGCTTGGCTCAGGAAGCCTCACGTTTAATCAGCAGTCCAACAACAGGGAGCCAGAGAGCTGGAGGGGGCAGGGGAATAGACGAGGCACGGCTCCAAGGAGGGGGTTGGGGGGGTCTTTTTCTTACTTGTTTGAAGGAGGCCCGAGGGCTCAGCCCTGTCCTGGGAGGGCAGGCTGCTTCCAGTCCTATTTTTGGCTGTTGTAGGTCATGTGCCTCTGGTTCATTGGGTTGTCCGGGGACCTCATCCACTCCTTCTTGAGGAGCTGCTTGAGCTGGGAGAGACGCATGTTGGGGTTCTCCTGCTTCAGGCGGGGCAGGCTGACCTCCTCGAACGCGGCGAAGGCAGCTTTCATCCGGCGCTCCGGGTGGCGGTCCAGGTCGTCGGCAACACTGTCGGGAGGAGCCAGACAGGGACGTAAGCACCGC